TGAATGGCCCTGCAATATCTGAATTCTAGATTCAGCAGGACAGAAAACTTTCTCCTAGCCGTAGCTATATGTATGGACTCACTATGTGATGGAAAATTCCTTTTCATCTCTGAGCATTAGTTTTATCAGTTACAAACTTGGGAATAATTATAAACCATGCCTTAAATTTCTTTCAATATTTATGCTAAGAATCTAATATGTACTATTCAAAATATCTTTGATTATCTGATAAGTTAATATTCAGAATATGTAAAAAAACTCCTACAACTCAACAATAGACAAACAAATTTACTAAAAATTTGGCCAAGAACGTGAATAGACATATCTCCAAAGAAGATACACAAATGGCTGATAAGCACATGGAAAATTGTTTGATAGGAGTACTGGAGATTGACAGTGGTGATAATTGCACAACAATGTGAATGTACATAACACCACTGAATTATACACTTAAAATGGTTGAGATAGCTCCACCTTCATTAATTGTATATATTTTTTTAAAAATTGAAGTATGATTGACATACCAAAACTGTACATGTTTAATATATACATTTTAATGAGTTTGAAAACACATATGCACCCATAAAACCATCATCAAAAAAAGTCATAAACATACATATCAGCTATAAAAATTTCTGTCCTCCCTATTTTTTGTGACAACGACATTTAACTCACCATCTAACCTCTTTACAAATGTTGCAGTATACAATACATTATTGTCAACCACATGCATTTGCTGTACGGTTGATCTCTAAGAGGTTTTCTTCTTGGAAAACTCTTTGACCAACATCTCATTTTCCCCAACTACCAAACCCTGGCTGCCACCATTCCACTCTTTGTTTCTATTAATTTGACCGTCTCAGATTCTTTATATAAAGGGGATTATGCAGTATTTGTTCTGTGTCTAGCTTAGCATAATATCATCCAAGTTGATCCATGTTGTTACAAATGGTAAAATTTCCTTATTTATTTATTTTTAAGTTTTATTTCAATAGTTTTTGGGGTACACTTGGTTTTTGGTTACATGGATAAGTTCTTTATAGATAATTTCAAATATTTTATTGCACCTGTCACCCGAGCACTGTACACTGTACCCAATATATAATCTTTTTTTATTCTTCACTCGCCTCCCAACCTTCACTCCTAAGTCCCCAAAGTCCATTATATCCTTCTTATGGTTTTGCATCATCATGGCATCAAATCAGGAATGGAAACCCAAACACCATATGCTTGTAAATAAGAGCATATGATGTTTGGTTTTCCATTCCTAATTTACTTAGAATAATGGCCTCCAGCTCCATCCAAGTTGCTGCAAAAGACGTTATTTTATTCCTTTTTGTAGTAAGCAGTTTTCCATGGTGTATATATACCACATTTTCTTTATTCAGTTGTTGGTTGATGGACACTTAGGTTGGTTTTATATCTTTGTAATTGAAAATTGTGCTGCTATAAACATGCATGTGCATGTGACCTTGTCACATAATTACTTTTTTTCCTTTGGGTAGATATCCAGTGAGGAGATTGCTGGATTGAATGGTAGTTGTTTTAGTTCTTTAAGAAATCTGCATGCCATTTTCCATAGTGGTTGTACTGATTTACATTCCCACCATCAGTGTAAAGTGCTCCTTTTTCAACACATTTATACTAACATTTTTTTTTTTTACTGTTTAATTACAGTCATTCTTGCAGAAGTAAGTTGGTAACTCATTGTCATATTAATTTGCATTTTCCTGATGATTAGTTATGTTGAGTATTTTTTTCATATGTTTTCTGGCTGTATGTATATAATAGTATATTCTTTTGATAATAGTCTGTTCGTGTCATTTGACCACATTTAAATGAAATTCTTTTTTCATGCTCATTTGTTTGAGTTTCTTGTAGATTCTGGATACTAGCAGTTTTTCAAATGCATAGGTGTAAGTATTTTCTACCATTCTGTGGGCTGTCTTGTTACTCTACTGATTATTTATTTTGCTGTGCGGTAGTTTTTTAGTGTATTTAGGTCCCATTTATTTATTTTTGTTTGTGTTGCATTTGCTTTTGGTGCTTAGTCATGAATTATTTGCCTAAGCCAATGTCTAGAAGAGTTTTTCCAGTATAATATTCTATAATTTTTATGATTGCAGATCTTAGACTTAAGTCTGTGATCTTGAGTTGATTTTTGTATAGGTGAGAGATAGGGATCCAGTTTCATTCTTCTTCATGTGGCTTGCCAATTTTCCCAGCACCATTTATTGAATAGGGTGTCCTTTCCCCACTATATATTTTTGTATGCTTTGACAAGTATCAGTTGGATGTAAGTATTTGGCTTTGTTTCTGGATTCTATATTCTGTTCCATTGGTCTACATGCTACCACAACCAAGAAATGACATAAACAAATAAAATTACAAACCAGTGTCTCTCATGATCATATATGCAAAAATTCTCAAGAAACTACTAGTTAGCTGAATCCAATAACATACCAAAAAGATAATTCATCATGATCAAGTGGATTTCATACTAGAGATGCAGGGATGGTTAACATACGCAAATCAATAAATGTGATACATTACACAAACAGAATTAAAAACAAAAACCATATGATCATCTCAATAGATCCAGAAAAAGCACTTGTTAAAACCCAGCATCCTGTTATGATTAAAATCCTCAACAAAAAGCATAGAAGAAATTTACCTCAAAGCCATCTATGACAATCCCACAGCCAAAGTCATACTTATTGAGGAAAAGTTGAAAGCACTCCCCTCTGAGAAGTATAAAAACACAAGAATGCTCACTTTTACTACTTCTATTCAACATAGTACTGGAAGTCCTGGCCAGAGCAACCAGATAAGATGAAGAATAAAGGGCATCCAAATTAGAAAAGATGAAGTCAAACTGTCACTGTTTACTGAGGATATGATCTTATATATCATTGGTGAACTGCTTTTTGTTTCATTTATCTTCTGTAATTTTTTTTTGTTTCAATTTTGTTTAGTTTTGTTCTTATCTTTTTTTTCCCTACTACTGGGTTTGGGTTTGGTTTGTTTCTGTTCCTATAGTTCTTCAAGGTGTGACATTAGATTATCTATTTGTGCTCTATCGGACTTTTTGATGTAGTCATTTAATGCTATAAATTTTCCTCTTAGCACCACTTTTGCTATATCCCAGAGGTTTTGATAAATTGTGTCACTATTATCGTTCAGCTCTAATAATTTTTTAATTTCCATGTTGAGTTTATTGTTGACCCAGGGACAATTCAAAAGTAGACTATTTAATTTTCAGGTACTGGTATAGTTTTGAGTGTTCCTTTGGAAGTTAATTTCCAGTGTTATTCCACTGTGTTCTGAAAAGATACTTTATATGATATTTTCTTAAACTTATTGAGACTTGTTTTGTGGCCTTGATATCATATGATCTATCACACAGAATGTTTCATGTGCTGATGAAAAAATGTGTATTCTGAAGTTGTTGTGTAGAATGCTCTGTAAATATCTGTCAAGTCCATTTATTCTATCATATAGTTTAAGTCTATTGTTTAATTGTTGAATTTCTGTCTTGATGACCTGTTTAGTGCTATCCCTGCAAAGGACATGAACTCATCTTTTTTATGGCTGCATAGTATTCCATGGTGTATATTTGCCACATTTTCTTTATCCAGTCTATCACTGATGGGCATTTGGGTTGATTCCAAGTCTTTGTTATTGTGAACAGTGCCACAATAAGCATACATGTGCATGTGTCTTTATAATAGAATGATTTATAATCCTTGGGGTGTATACCCAGTAACCAGGTTGCTGGGTCAAATGGTATTTCTAGTTCTAGATCCTTGAGGAATCACCACACTGTCTTCCATAATGGTTGAACTAACTTACACTCCCACCAACAGTGTGACAGCATTCCTATTTATCCGCATCCTCTTCAGCATCTATTGTCTCCTGAATTTTTAATGATCAACATTCTAACTGACATGAGATAGTATCTCAATGTGGTTTTGATTTTCATTTCTCTAATGACCAATGATGATTACCTATTTTTTTCATATGTTTGTACAAGGGAAGTGTTTAGTGTTTTGAGAGAATGAGTAGACCCTCATGTACTCTATATAGGCCCTTCAACCACAGATAATTTGGCTTGATGTTGAGAATAATTAGTTCAATGTGGAGCTGCATAAAAATACATAACTAAAACTCCTTTATCTTGGAGTTAGAAAATGCCATGTCCCATTTTCCTTGCTGTTCATCTTTGTGCAAATCACTTTACTTTCATGAGTAAATTTTTTAATCTGACAAATGGTAGTGTTGGTGGTGAGTAATGACCACTATCACTCTGGTTGTGAGGCTGAGGTGAATAAATAAATATGAAAATATTTTAGAAATTATGGGTAAGGATAAACATTGTGCGGATACTACAAAAATATTTATGAATAAAGTAGTTTTTTGTAAGGCTCTGACACGGTTTCCCACTCCTTCACTCCTTATTGTCAACCTTTTATAAAATTCTGTTGGTTGTAACTCTAAAATATATTCTGCATTTATCTATTTGCTTCTACCTTTAACTCCACCCTGGTACCCTAATCCAAGCCACCATCACCTGCATTGGTCTCTCTTCTTCCAGTTCTTCTTCTTCCTCTCTTCACTGCCAAGCCAAAGAGAGCATTACAATCAAGTCACATCCCATCACTTCCCTGCTTAAAACCTTCCTCTGGTACCACATCGTAATTAAAATGAACATTAAATTTATTTCTTGCCTATAGCTCCATGGCTTCTATCCACATTTCACACTTACCTCCTCTTCACTATTTGCATGCACTATGCACTTACCACGCTGGCCCTTATTGTTTTCTCTAATATACCCTGTTCCTCATCATAGGAATTTAGTATGTGTCCTCTCTTTGCCTGGAATGCACTTTTTCCTTGTTAACACACTTAACTCTTTAGAACTTTAGTTCAGTCTCATTCATGTTAAGAGAGGGTGTCAAATTGAGAACCAGGTAGATTCACCACTTACAATAAAAAAGACCCTAAAGTAAATTTGTTAAAGAAATTAGATGCCAAAGATTCTTGGTGAATTTTGAAGTCTTCATCAGTATATCTATATTAAAACGAGATGGCAGAAACCAAAATAAAATAATTATGGGCTGACAGGACAACTGGATTAAAATAAGCATCAGTTTCATTAAAAAGGACTAACTTGAAGGTAAATATTTTCACTCCAGCTCTTTAGAGGATCTAAAGTGACCTTGATGGACAGTGGAAGAAATCACAACATGGAATTCCTTGAATAAAAATGTATTGACTTAAAAAAAACAAAAGGAATTTAGTTCTTTCATCATTTCTCCCAAGAAACATTTTCCAAACTTTTCATTAGAAAAAGTCTCCTTATTATAGACTCTCCTATCACTGTAAGTTTATATTTTGTAGTTAAGCTTGAGGATTTAGCTACAAGGTATAAACTTACAGTGATAGTAGAGCCAAGAGCTGCATCTGGCTCTAAGCTTTATGAGTTGACATTATATATATGAAAATGCAGTATCCAAAATAAAAAAAGTCATGGATGGGCTCAACAGGAGAATGGACAGATCAGAAGAAAGAATAAATGAACTGGAAGATAGACTAGATTATATTACCTGATCTAAACTACAGAAAGAAAATAGACTTAAACAGATGAATAGAATCTTAGAGGCCTGTGGAAGTGTAACAAAAGATTTTTGTCATCAGAGTCCTAAAGAGAGAGTAGAAGGATGAGAGTCAAAAAGTATTTGAAGAAATAATGGCTGCAAAATCCTCAAATTTAGGATAAAATATAAACATATGTCTTTTTAAGGAGCTGAGTGAACTGAAACAAAATGAACGCTAAGAAATTTATGGCAAGACACATCATAGTCAAACTTTTGAAAACTAAAGACAAAAAAGAAAAGAATATTTTGAGGGAGAAATCACACTTCATCAATTTAAATGAGAGAATTTATCATCTAAAATTGTGGAGGCTAGAAAGAAGAGGCACAACATTTTTCAAGTTCTGGAAAAAAAAAAAAAGGAACTCTCAATCAGGAATTTTGCATATACTAAAATATCCTTCAGAAATAAAAGGTAGAATAAGATATTCAGAGGAAAAGAAACTAAAATAATTTGTTGCCAGCAAACTTTATTTAAAATGTTGGCTCAGTAGATCATAATGGACGGGACGCAGGTCTAAATTGCAGCTCCAGATAGAGCAACACTGTGGAGGCTTGCATTGTGAATTTTACCTTCAGATCGACTGCAAGAACGAACCAGCAATCCTGAAAGGACCCACAGACCCTCTGAAGGAAGTGGACTGCTCCTGCAGAACCTGGGAGACACCCCAAATACTCTGCTCCAACTACAGAAGTGGGAGAGGGAAGCCCTTCTTTCCCTAACACATACCCCCACTGAAGAAGCTGAAGGCCTGTTTGCAGGAAACGTTCCCAACTTTACCGGGGTCTAAGTCAGGTTAGAGAGCCAAGCTGAGTGAAATGAAGGGGTGGAGGAGGCAGCAGGGAGGCCCAGGAAGTTTGGTAAATCCCCAAGTAGCCCATTCCTGCTAGGCACCACAGGGATCCATCAGGAGGGAGGCCAGAGGAGCAGGGGGTAAAACCCTACCAGGGAGAAGGACGTCCCTAGCTGAACTTTGTAACAATTTGAGCTTGGCAAGAAGCCCCCTGGCCAGAACTTGGAGGAGAATGTGAATCCATCTTGCATATTTTACAGGTGGAGGAAGAACCAAAGCCCTTCTGTTTCACAGCTGGGAGGCAGAAAGCATCAGGCAAGTTTTCAAGCTTGCCCTCCATCTGGGAACAGACTAGGGGCTGTTGCTGTTGGCAAGGTGGGAGTGAGACCAGCCCTTCAATTTGCATTGGGGCTGAGTGAGGCCTGTGACTGCTGGCTTTTCCCCGCTTCCCTGACAACCTGAATGACTCAGCAGAGGCAGCCATAATCTTCCCAGGTACACAACTCCAGTGACCTGGAAATCTCACCCCATCCCCCACAGCAGCTTCAGCAAGATCCGCTCAAGGAGAGTCTGAGCTCAGACACACCTAGCCCCACCCCTACTTGATGGTCCTTCTAAAGCTAACAACTCTCACAGATTCCATTGCACACTCCACCACCTACACTGGAACAGGCACTGGTATCTATTGCTGAGGGACCCACAGATGGCTCACATTACAGGACTCTGTGCAAAACCACCAAACACCAGCCAGGGGCTGGGTAGAATTCCTGGGTGGCTAGACCCAAAAGAGAGACAACAATCACTGCAGTCAGCTCACAGGAAGGCACAAACACAAGAAAAACAGGGTGAGTACTACATCAAGGTAATACCCCGTGGGACAAAAATATCTGAACAACAGCCTTCAGCCTTAGACCTTACCTCTGACAAAGCTGACCCAAATGGGAAAGAACCAGAAAACCAACCCAGGTAATATGAAAAAACAAGGCTCCTCAACATTCCCCAAAAATCACACTAGTTTACCAGCAATGGATTCAAACCAAGAAGAAATCCCCTACTTACCTGAAAAAGAATTTTGGAGGTTAGTTATTAAGCTAGTAAAGAAGGGACCAGAGAAAGGCAAAGCCCAATGCAAGGAAATTAAAAAAAAAAATTGATACCAGAAGTGAAGGGAGGAATATTCAACAAAATAGACAGCTTAAAAGAAAAAACAATAAAATCTTCAGGAAACATTGAACACACTTTTAGAAATGCAAAATGCTCTGAAAGTCTCAGCAATAGAATTGAACAGATAGAAGAAAGAAATTCAGAGCTCGAAGACAAGGTCTTCAAATTAACCCCATCCAACAAACACAAAGAAAAAAGAATAAGAAAATATGAACAAGGCCTCCAAGAAATTTGGGATTATAATAAATGACCAAACCTAAGAATAATCGGATTTCCTGAGGAAGAAGACAAACCTAAAAGCTTGGGAAACATATTTTGGGAAATAAGAAAATCCTTCCTGGCCTTGCTAGAGACCTAGGCATGCAAATAGAAGAAGCACAAAGAAAGTCTGGGAAAGTCATTCCAAAAATATCTTCACCTAGGTACATTATTCTCAGGTTATCCAAAGTTAAGACAAAGGAAAGAATCTTAAGAGCTGTGAGACAGAAGCACCAGCTAACTTATAAATGAAAATCTATCAGATTAACTGCAGAATTCTCAGCAGACACCCCATAAGCTAGAAGGGATTGGGGGCCTATCTTCAACCTCCCTAAACAAAACAATCTTCAGCCAAGAATTTGGTATCTGGCAAAATTAAGCATCATATATGAAAGAACAATACAGTTGTTTTCAGACAAATGTTGAGAGAATTCACCATTACCAAGCCACCACTACAAGAACTCCTAAAAGGACCGCTAAATCTTGAAACAAATCCTGAAAACATAGCAAAACAGAATCATTTTAAAGCATAAAGCACACAGGACCTATAAAACAAAATACAAGTTCAAAAGCAAAAACAAAAAACAAAGTATGCAGGCAACAAATAGCATGATGAATGTCATGGTACCTCACATTTCAATACTAACATTGAATGTAAATGGCCCAAATGCTTCACTTAAAAGATACAGAACTTCAGAGTGGATAAGAACTCACCAACCAACTATTTGCTGTCTTCAGGAGACTCACCTAACACATAAGGACTCACATAGACTTAAAGTAAAGGGGCGGAAAAAGATAGGTCATGCAAACGGACACCAAAATTGAGCAGGAGTAGCAATTCTTACATCAGACAAAACAATTTTAAAGCAACAATGGTTAAAAGAAACAAATAGGGATGAAGTTGGAAACCATCATTCTCAGCAAACTGACAGAAGAACAGAAAACCAAACACTGCATGTTCTCACTCATAAGTGGGTATTAAGCAATGAGAACACATGGACACAAGGAGAGGAACAACATGGGGGGCCTGTTGGGGTGTGGGAGGCTAGGGGAGAGATAGCAGGGAGTGGAGACATTGGGAAGGGATAACATTAGGAGAAATACCTAATGTAGGTGAAGAGGGGATGGAGGCAGCAAACCACCATGGCATATGTATACCTATGTAACAATCCTTCAAGATCTGGACATGTACCCCTGAACTTAAAGTAAAATCAAAAAAAGGAGGCATGTATAACCCACCCCTTGTTTATCATATAATCAAGAAATAACCTTTAAAATTGGGCAACCAGCAACCTTTGGGGCTGCTCTGTTTATGGAGCACCCATTCTTTATTTTATTTTATTTTTTTTGAGAAGGAGTCTCACTCTGTCACCCAGGCTAGAGTGCAATGACACGTCTTGACCCACTGCAACCTCTGCCTCCAAGATTCAAGTCATTCTCCTGCCTCAGCCTCTAGAATAGCTGGGATTACAGGCACCTGCCACCACACCCAGCTAATTTTTGTAATTTTAGTAGAGACAGAGTTTCTCCATGTTGGTCAGGCTAGTCTCAAACTCCTGACCTCGTGATCTGCTTGCGTCAGGCTCCCAAAGTGCTGGAATTACAGACATAAGCCACTGCACCCGGCTGGAGTACTCATTCTTTATTCCTTTACTTTCCCAATAAATTTGCTTTCACTTAAAAAAATTAAATGAATAAATAAATAAATATTGCCTTCACATTTCAAGCTATCTGATATATCAGTATCCCAAATAAACGAAATTGATTTCAGTTAAAAAAAAAATAAACTTGACAGATGACTAACACTCCCAGGTAAATGGTAAACAATGTGGCTTTCATTTTTTCTACTTCTTGTCCAACATTGCCTTACTGAGACAGATTACTGTCTTTAGGCTAACTCTTCACAACCTTGCTGCACATTAGAGCCACCTGAGGGAGTTTATTTATTAATTTATTTTGAGATAGGGTCTTGCTCTGTTGCTCAGGCTGGAGTGCAGTGGCACAAAGAAGGGTCATTGTAGCCTCAACTTCCTGGGCTCAAGGGATCCTCCCACCTCAGCCTCCCATATAGCTGGATCCGCAGTTGTGGGCCATCATGCCTAGCTAATTATTTTTTTTTAGAGATGGGGTCTTTCTATGTTGTCCAGGCTGGTCTCAAACTTCTGGGCTCAAGCAGTCCTCCTGTCTTGTCCTCCCTGAGTGTGGGATTACAGGCATGAACCACTGTGCCCAGCCTCACCAAAGGAACATTTTAAAAAAGCACAGTGTTCCTGCTCACCTCAGACAATCAAAGAGCCAGAGAGTAGGGCCAGAGAAAAGGAGTCCTTAAATGTTTTTACTTTTATTTTTTAATTTTCAAAGCCACATTTTAAAATGGACATATAAAAGTTTGCATTTAAACACATAAAGTATTAAATTTCTAGCATGTTGTAAATGCTGACTTAAAAAGATAAAACTCACATCTTTTTTTGAAATGTGTATAATAGGTCCTAAATACCACAGTTAACATACTTTTTATCATTAGGAAATTTCCCACCTTTCTATTCTACAACTTCCATAGAATTTTATTATACTAATGTAATATGTTTTCATGCTTGGATGTCTTTTATTTATTAACCTATCATAACCCTTCTGGAGCAAGAATATCTATATAAATTTGGATTTAGCTTTTAAGATTCCCTGTGTCTGTAGGCTTTAAGTACTTAAAATTTCTGGATAGTGTGATCATTGTAATTATTATGGAATGTGCTTGTTAAAAGCAACATTAATGTATTATAATTTTGTAGGAGGTATAAAAAACAAATTTCTATCGATCAATGAAAGAAGAAACTAAATAAGGGGTATTTATATGATAGAATGCTTAGCAATAAAAAGGAACTACTTATATATACATCAGCATGAATAAATTCAAAAATATTGTGCTGAAAGAAGCCAGACAAAAGAGTATATACTGTAGGATTCCATTTATATTAAAATATTAGAAAATGCAAACCAGTCATTAGTGGCAAAAGCAGACTGTTAGTTCCCTGGGACTGGTGAGGATGTAGTGACAGACTGTAAAACATTGTGAGAAAACTCTTAGGGATGATGAAGATGTTCTGTAACTTAAGTTGAGTGTGGTGGTGGGTTTAGAGTGTAATCATTTATCAAAATTTATTGAACTGTAGAGTTTGAATGAATACAGCCTATTATATATAAATTACACTTCAATAAAGTTGTACATTTTAGGTTTTTATAAATATTAAACAGAAAGTGAAATTGTAGTGGAAATATGCAGAAGAATAAATCTTAACTCAAAGCAGTGAAAAAAAAGAGGAAACGGTATATACATATATATATAATATATATATTTTATATATATATACACATATATATAATATATATATTTTGTATATATATAATATATATATATATATAATATATATATAATATATATATATAATATATACATATATATGATGGAATCCTACTCTGCCTTAAAAAGGAATGGATTAACAACATTTGCAATGATCTAGATTAGATTAGAGATTATTATTCTAAGGGAAGCAACTCAGGAATGGGAAACCAAACATCATATGTTTTCACTGATATGTGAGAGCTAAGCTATGAGGATACAAAGACATCAAAATGATACAATGGACGTTGGGGATTTGGGAGATGCAAGGGAAGTGGCCAAGGGATAAAAGACAACAAATATGGTGCAGTGTATACTGCTCAGGTGATAGGTGCACCAGGTTCTCACAAATCTCCACTAAAGAACTTACTCATTTAAAGAGATAACATTCGTGCTCCAATAACTTATGGGAAAAAAATAAATGAAATAAAATACTGGCTACAGAATGATCACTAAACAGAGAAGAAAGAATAAAAGAAGGAGCGTTGTAACATCAGGCAGAAGGAATAAATAACAGAAAGTGCAAAAATATGTGTAAATACAATGGACTTTTCTTCTCCTTTTGAGATATCTAAATCATATTTGACAGGTGAAGCAAAAATTGTTATGCTCTCTAATGTGGTTCTCAATATATGTAGAGTAAATATTTTTGAAAGTTATATTTAAAATCAGAGAGGGTAAAGGCATGTAAAAGGAGATAAGGTTTCTATGTTTTAGTTAAACTGGTAAAATGTTGATGTTAACAAACTATGTCAGATAATTTATATATAATGCAATATTTAGAGTAACAAGGTTATATGAAAAAGCTATGCAAATAAATATACTCAAAAACTTCAGATTAATAAAATGGAATTTTAAGAATGTTAAAAATTTCACAGGAAGACAGTAAAAGGAAACAGAGAAACAACAACAATAAAAACACAGAGAATACAAGCAGAAAACTGAAACTAAAGTGACAGACTTAAGCGAGAAAATATTATAAATTATATATAATGTAAGGGAGCTACATACAGCAATTAAATACAAAGATTAGTAAAGAGATTAAAGGCAAATATCCAACTATATGCTAGATACAAGAAACTCACTTCAAACATAATGACATAGCTGGTTGAATGTAAAAGTATGTAAAAATGTAAACTAGGAAAAAAACAATAAAAATCGGGGTGGCTACACTAATATCAGATAAAGCAAATTTTAAAGCTAACAAATATTTTAGTAAAAAAGGAAGGAAATTACTTAATGGTGAAAGTATCAATGCACCAAGAATATTTAGCAATTTTGAACAATAAGCACCACAAAAAATAGAGTTGAAATGTACATGAAGCAAAAATTAATAAAATTGAAAGGAGATATAGAAAAAATTGCAACTGTACTTAAAGACTTTAATACCCTCTCTCAGCAGTGGATAAAACTCCTAGAGAGAAAACTAATAAAACTAATATAAGCTAATGTATAAAACTAATATATGGGTATAGAAAAATTAAACAACATTATGATCTTAGATAATCTATTTAGAATAGATTCTGTATATAGAATAGATTCTAATATATAAAATATATAAGCTAATATATAATATAAGCTAATATATAAAACTAATGTATGGGTATAGGAAAACTAAACAACACTATGATCTTACAGAATCTATTCTACATTTAAACATCATTCCACCACAGTACAAAATAATACATATTGTTTTCAAGTGCATATAAAACATTCATTATCACACACCAAATCTTGGACCATAAAACAACCACAACAAATATAAGAGTTGAGATAATACAAGCTATGTTTTCTGAGCATACATAATCAAGCTAGAAACAATAAGAGAAAGATAAAAAGGAAAACTACAGATAAAAATCCTTTATGAATATAAGCATAAAACATTTTCAAAATAATATAAACAAATAAAATTCAGCAATATATAAAAAGAATTTATACCACAACCAATGTGGTTTTTATTCTGGTTATGCCAGGTTGGTTCAATATTTTAAAAATAATTAATACAATAAACCACATTCACAGGCTAAATAAGAAAAATATTACAATTAAACCATTTGATGCAGAAAGAGCATTTGACAAAATCCTGCACCCAATCATAATAAAAAATCTTATAAAACTAGGAATTTAGGAGAACTTATTCAACCTGATAAAGAACATCTACAAAAAACCTACAGCTAACATTACCTTTACTGGTGAAAAACTGAGTGCCTTCCTCTAAGATGGAGAAAAAGGTAAGAATTCTGCTCTCAGAATTGCTATTGAACATTTAACTAAAATTTTTAGTTAACACAATAAGAAAGTATTTTTTAAAAAATGGATCTGAAAGAAAAAAGGAAAATCATGACTACTTACGGATGACATGACTGCCTACATAGAAAACCCCCAAAAATCTAAGAAATGTTGTAGAAACAAATAATGAGTTTGGCAAAGTCAGAGGTGCAGGATCAACATGTGAAAAGCAAATGCATTTTCTTATACAGCCTTGTCCAGTACTAGTAATGAATCTGTAGACAACAAAATGCAAAATATGACACTATAGCCACTCAAAAATAAAATACTTGGGTGTAAATCTAACAAAACATATATAGGCTTTGTTTGTTGAAAACTATAAAATATTTATGAAAGAAGTAAAGGAACATCTGAATAAATGTAAAGAAATACTGTGTTTGTGGGCTGGAAGATTCAACAATGTAAAGATGTTATTGTTCTGCAAATAAACCTATCTGACACTACATATATATCTCACCAAATATAAACATATATATTTATATATACAATACAGTTTTTATATCAATAAACACAATTATTCTAAAATTACATTGGAATGCAAAGAAATTAGAATAGTCAATACAATTTTCAAACAGAAGAATAAAGTGGGATGAATCAATTTATCAGAAATTAAATTACAATAACTACAGCAGTAAAGACTGTTTGGTATAGATGCAGGAAGATACATACACTGTGGATAAATTCATCAGAATAGAGACTCAGAAGTAGACATACACACATATACTCAACTGATTTTAAGCAAAGGTGCAAAATCAATTCAATGAAGAAAAAATAGCCTTTTCAAAAAATCGTGCTGGGGCAACTGGGCATTAACAGGAAAAACAAAAACAAAACCTTTTATCTAAATTGTCCAACTTACATAAAAATTAACTCTAAATTGATTATGGACTTAAATGTAAAAAGTAACTTATAAAACTTGTAAAATAAAATATATGGAGAAATCTCTTTGGGATCTAGGGTTAATCAAATAGTTATTAGATTGACAATAAAAGTATAATCTGTAAAAGGAAAAAGTAATATTGGACTTCATCAAAATTCAAAACTTTTGCTCTAAAAAGGACCTTTTAGTAGTAATTAAGGTAACAATACAGATTGTAATACAGTATTTGCAAAATGCACATCACACAAAAGACTCATATCTTGAATATGTAACTTTCAAATTTCAGCAGTTAAAAAGAAAAGAAACACCCAAACAATCTAATTATTAAATTAAAAGATTCATGAAAGGACAGTTCACTGAAGAATGTATATAGATGGCAAGTAAACACATAAAGATATGTTTAATAATGTTAATCTTAGGAAAATGCAAATAAGACCACAATGGGATATTATGACACACCTATTAGAACAGCTAAGATAAAAAATAGTGATGATATCAAATGTTGACAAGGATGCAGACCAACTGGACTACTCCTTTGTTGATGTTGGGAAGGTAAAATGATGCAGCCACTTTTAAAAATAGTTTGGCATTTTCTTATAAAACTGAACATATAATTATCATGTAACTCAACAAAAACAAACAACCACAACAAAAAGTAGGCAAAGAATGTGAACAGACACTTCCCAAAAGAAGACATTTATGTGGCCAACAAACATATGAAAAAAAAGGTCATCATCACTGGTCATTAAAGAATTGCAAATAAAAACCACAATGAGATACAATCTCACACCAGTTAGAAAGGCAATCATTCAAAAGTCAGGAAACAACAGATGCTGGAGAGAACGTAGAGAAATAGGAATACTTTTACATTGTTGGTGGGAGTGTAAATTAGTTCAACCGTTGTGGAAGACACTGTTTGGGATTCCTCAAGGATCTAGAATCAGAATAACCATTTGACCCAGCAATCCCATTACTGAATATATATCCAAAGGATTATAAATCTACTTACAAAGACACATGCACACATGTTTATTGCAGCCCTATTCACAATAGCAAAGACTCAGAACCAACCCAAGTGCCCATCAATGATAGACTGGATAAAGAAAATTTGGCACATATACCCCATGAAATACCATGCAGACATAAAAAAGGATGAGTTCATGTCCTTTGCAGGGCCATGGATGAAGCTAGAAACCATCATTCTCAGCAAGCTAACACAGGAACAGAAAATCAAACACTGCATGTTCTCAGTCATAAGTGGGAGTTGAACAATGAAAACACATAGGCACAGGGAGGGGAATATCACACAATTGGGCCTGTTGGGGGTGGGGGGCCTGGGATAGCATTAGGAGAAATACCTAATGTCGATGATGCCTTCATGGGTGCAGTAAACTACCATGGCACATGTATACCTATGTAACAAACATGCACGTTCTGCGCATGTGACCATTATTCTAAGTGAAGTAACTCAGGAATGAAAAATCAAGCATTATATGTTTTCACTTATAAGTGGGAGCTAAGCTATGAGGATGCAAAGATATATGAATGATATAACAGACTCTGGGGACTCAGGGGGAGGGATAAGAGAGGTATGAAAATAAAAGACTATACATTGGGTACAGTATACAATACTCAGGTGATGGGTGCACCAAAATTTTAGAAATCCCCACTAAATAATTTATTTATATAATCAAACATCATCTGAAAAAAAAATTATTATTATTATAAAGGGATACAATCCGCAGACCTCAGACATGGGGGAAATGCTACAGAATAGACAGACAGACACAAAAACAAAAGACAAAACAAAACACCCATTTCTTCAACAAATACATATTAAGGAATAAAAAAATAAATACCTTTGTGTCAAAAAAGACTTAAGAGACGTATTAGCTAATAGTAGGTATAGATCTTACTAGATTTGGATCATGGAAATCTTTAAAAATAATTAAGAGATAACTAGGCAGATTTGAACACTCACTAGATATTAAGTAATATTAAGGAATTATTGTTCCTTTGAGGTGTGATAATTGTAATTATACCTTTAAAAAGACTCTATACTTTCTGGAAACACCAAGAAATGTGTAAATGATATAAAATAACTGCATTAGAACAGTCTTCAGGAGAGGCAATGGATATGGGTAGGGTATGGAGGAAACAAGACCGGCTGCTGAGGTGTGGTAACTTGAAACTGGTGATGAGTATGAGGATTTATCCTATTGTTCATTGCACTTCTGTATGTCCTTAACATATGGTATAATAAAAAGATTTTTTTAAAACAATTACACTTAATAGGTATTTATCCCAGAGAAATGAAAATTTATATCCATGCAAAAATGTGTATACTGTTTTTATAGCAGCTTAAATATTTTAAAACTGTAAATAATTAAAATATTCTATAATTAATGATTGGTTCAACAAACTGCCCTGATCTGTAATATGGAGTACTAGTCAGAAATACAAAAGGAATCATCTATTTTGATACACGCAAAAACTTGGTTGGATCTCCATCACTGTTCTCTTGAAATGGCAAACTTATAGAGATAAAAACATTAGTGGTGACCAGGGGTTAAGGATGGTTAGGTAGGTGATAATTATAAAAGGGTATCATATATGTGAGATATTTGTGGTCATGGGAATGTTTTGTATCTTGATATCAGTGGTGGTTACAGGAATATACATATGTGATAAATTGATATAGAATTCTACACATATATTGTACCAATATCTATTTTCTCTGTCTGATATCATACACTAGTTACATGAAACATAACCACTGGGGGAATGGTACAAAAGTTCTCTCTGTATTTCTTTAAAACTTCCTGTGAATCTATAATTATCTCAATAAAAATAGTTCAAAAAATGACAGTCCCTGCTTTAAAAGAAGGGAAAAGTACATGTAATTTTCTGAGACAGGGGAGAAAGCATAAATGAGAGAGGAGAAAATTCTTGTTGTTGAAGAGATGATTTTTTTTTTTTTGAATGGTTAACACTTTTGAGTTGTAGAAATGGGAGTCCTGGGATTCTTAGCCTCAACAAAGTCTTCTATGCTCCTTGAATGGTGTTGAAACCACAGAAGCACTGTACCTGAATGGAGCATGTGAGCTGAAATGATAGACACTTCAACTGTAACTACTGTTGACCACCTACCTGATGGTTTTCCTTATATTTTGGCATGTCATAAAGCTTACCGGAACATTTGCACCTATTGTTTCTTGACTTTTGAATGATCATCATTCTAACTGGTATGAGATGATATCTCAATGTGGTTTTGATTTGCATTTCTCTAATCACCGGTGATATTGAGCTTTTTTTCATGTGTTTGCTGGCCACATAAATGTCTTCTTTTGAGAAGTGTCTGTTCATATTCTTTGCCCACTTTTTGATGGGGTTGTTTGTTTTATTTTAATTGTAAATTTGTTTACGTTCCTTGTAGATTTGGGATATTAGCCCTTTGTCAGATGGATAGATTGCAGAAATTTTCTCCCATTCTGTAGGATGCCTGTTCACTCTGATGATAGTTTCTTTTGCTGTGCAGAAGCTCTTTAGTTTAATTAGATCTCATTTGTCAATTTTGGCTTTTGTTGCCATTGCTTTTGGTGTTTTAGTCATGGAGCCTTTGCCCATGTCTATGTCCTGAATGGTAAGGGTCACACAGTGGAAGCGTGCTGGGCTCATATGTCTTTTCATAATTTTGAATTAAAATCAGTTTTATCTAAGTATAGCTACTCCCCCTCTCCTTTGGTCTGCACTTATATGGAATTTTTTTTTCCCATTGTTTTCACATTCAGGCTGAGTGTCCTTAGAGGTAACGTGAGTCTTATAGACAGAATATAGTTAGATCTTTTACAAAATCTATTTATTCACTCTATAACTTTGGAGAGGAGAATTTAATCTATTTTTATTAAAGGTAATTATTGGTAGGTAATGACTTTCTATTGACATTTTGTTATTTATTTTCCGGATATTTTATATCACTTTTGTTGTTTACTTTCTCTCTTGCTGTCTTTCTTTGTGATTAGACAGTTTTCTTTAGTGATATACTCTGATTTCTTGATTTAGATATTTTGTGTCTCTACTATAGGCTTTTTGGTTTTGGCTATCGTAAAGCTGACATAAAATGTTTTATAACAGGCTATTTTAAGTTGATAACAACTTAACCTTGATTGCATATAAAAACTCTACACTTTTACTCCCTCCCCAACATTTCATGTTTTTGATGTCATTGTTTACATATTTTTATATTATATTATCTCTTAAGACATTTTTGAAGTATTTTTAATTATTTGTAATTGGTATCTCCTTTTGAAAAATTTCTCTCTTTATCACTATATATTGACCTTCTTTGATTCTTGTGAAATATTTTGACTGAGTCTGTCTTGTCTATATAAGTATGGCTACTTCTCTTGTGATTAAAAGTTGCATAAAAAATATTTTTCTAACCCTTCACCTTCAGTCTATGTGCATCCTGTCATATAGTTAGGTCTCCTATTTCTAAAACTTTATTCGGGCCTCTCTGTGTCTTTTGATTCAAAGCTTTAATTCCCTGACATTGAAAGTAATTACTGATAGATGAGGATTTATACCTGCAATTTTGTTTATTGTTTTCTTTCTGTTGGGTGGTATCTTTCTCTATTCCTGTCTTTGTCTTTTTTTTGTTGTTATTTGTTGTTTTTCAGTGTTATGCTTCGATATTTTTCTTTATTTTTTTGTGCATCTACTAGAAGCTTTTTAATTGTAGTTGTCATGAGACTGAACAAAATTTTTTGTAGTTATAACCATCTATTTTGAGCTGATAACAATTAACTTTAATGAAATAAAAAAAACTCTACACTTTTATGTTTCTCCATTCCACACTTTATGCTATTAATGTCACAATTAGCATCTTTTCATGTTTCATAACCATTAACAAATTATTGTAGCTATAATAATTTTTCATAGTTTTGTTTTTCAACCTTTATACAAAAGATGTAAGTTATTTACATACCACCATTATAACAGTAGGGTATTCTGAAGTTGACTATGTACTTAGTTTTATTAGTGAGTTTTCTACTTACATATGCTTTTATATTATTAAGAATCATTATTTTCTTTCAATTTGGAGAACTAGCTGTCAAATTTTTTTCCATGGCATGTCGAATGGTGATACATTTGCACAGCTTTTTGGGGGTGAAATTCTTATCTATTCTTTATTTTTGAAGGGCAGACGATGCGTATAGTATTCATTTTTGACAGTTTGTTTTTCTTCAGCACTTTGAATATATTATCTCACCTTCTGTTGATCTGTAAGATTTTTGCTTAGAAAGCTCCTGATGGTCTTATGGAATTTCCCTTGTATGCATGAGTTGGTATTTTCTTGCTTCTTTCAAAATTCTTTGTCTTTGATTTTGAGAGATTGATTATAATGTGTTTCAGTGAGGATCTCTGTATTTAATTTATTTGGGGCTCTTACGGATTCATGAATCTAGATGTTCATTTTTCTTTCATATTTGGGACATTTCTGTCACTATTTCTTTAAGCTTTTTACTCTTTTATCTTTTTCTGTTCTTCTAGGATACCCATCATGTATACATTCATTAGATTGATGGTGGCCCATAAATGTCATATGCTTCCTTCATTTAAACACTTTTTTTCTTTTTATTCTTCTGTCTAATTTCAGATGATCTGCTTTTTTAATTTGCTAATTCTTCTGCATTTTCAAGCTATTAATACTCTTTATTTTTTTTATTTTTTTTTTTAGTTTTGTGATTGTATTCTTCAGATCTAGAATTTGTGTTTGGGTCTTTTTTATGGCTTCTCCTCCTTTATTATTTTTCTAATTTTGCTCACATATTGTGCCCTTCATTTTATTTAGTTGTCTATCTCTGTTTTCTTGCATCTCACTGAACTTTTCATGATGATCATTTTGAATTCTTTTTAAGGAAATTAGGTCTCCATCTCCTTGATTGGTTACTGGAGCTTTATGCTTCTTTTGATGATGTTCTATTTGCCTTATTTTTCATGATCCATGTAGCCTTGCACTGCTGACTGCATTTGAAGAGGAAAACACTTTTTCTAGTCTTTACATAGAGATGTTGGGAAAAAAAAAAAAAGAGTCTGTTGGGCCCCTGGGCTGATAGGATTGCCTCATAAGCAAATAGGGTTGGAGCCAGGTTACACAGCTGCTTCTGGGTCTTCAATGTGGATCATGGTTGGTAGGAGTGTTACCAGGGGTTTGGGCAAGTATGGATCTTGTCTGTTCCCTGGGAAGACTGGATTGCCTCTAGGACCTGGGACAGATGGGCTGGATCTAGAACATAGTTCTGTCTGAGGGTCAACCATGGGGTCTGCAGACAGTTATCAGTTGTGCAAATAGATATGGTTCCTATTAGGTCCCTGAGAAGGCACCTTATAAGTCACTGGGTAGGTTTCTGGGTGGGCAGAACTGCCCTTGGACCACGGCTGAAATATTCTAAAGCTGATTTATAGGGATTCATCAGGATCTACAGTTAGACAGATGTCAGCAAGGCTGCCACTGGGGGTATGGGAAAGCATACCTTCCAATAGGTCCCTAGACAGGCAGAAGTGCTTCATAACACACCTCAGAGGGGTTAGAATGGGTAACAGGGCTGTTTCAGGATCTGTTTGGGGGCCCAGGTCAAGAGATCTGCCTCCCTGGGCACAGATAGACATGTCTCCTCGTAGGTGCCTGGGTGGAAAGAGCCATTCCTGGATCACGACTGAGAGGAGCTAGAGCTGAGTTATGTGGTCATTTAAAAATCTGTAGGCTAGGTTTGTTGTCCTGCCTCTGGGGATACGGAGAGTGAGTGGGTCCCTGTGCAGGCAGAGCTTCTCTCAGATCATAGCTAAGAGGATTTACAACCATATCATGACCTACTTTAGAGTTCATAGCTGAAACTACGGTCAATGGGCCTTTACCCAAGGCATAGGTGGGCGTGACTCCTCCCAGGTCTCTTGAAGGATCATAAAGGTGGCAGGACCAAGGCCAAATGTGTCTGTAGCCAAGTTAAGAAGGTGAGGCTAATTCCAGATCTGTAGACAAGACTATGGTCAATGAGCCTGCCATGTGAGTGTGGACATGCCCCTTCAAAATGGCTTTCTTCAGTCTTGAACTCAACCAGGGTTTCACAACATCCTACCTATATCCAAAGTTCCCAGGAAGGCACTTTTGTCTGTGAACGGCTGCCAATTTATTGTTAATGTCAGGGGATATGAGAAGGCAATCTCCTGTTCTGCCGTCTTACTGATGTCACCTACGTTATTGAAAATTTCAAATGATATTAAAAAACAAAAATGATAGCACACACATATGTAGTGCCCATTTGTGAGTTAGATATTTTCTAAGGACTTTATAAAGATTTTATTTAAAATAGACATCTATAGGATAAATATTGCAAAAGCTCTTAAGCTCCTTTACCAACCTTTCCCCATACCAATTACATTCTTCTCCTCAGAAATAAGCACTATATTACAATTGGCTTGTATTCTTCTAGGCTTTTTTTCTGTACATTAAAACTACATTTTTACATTTTACATGTATACATTTACATTTGTCAATATATACATTTTATATAAATAGACACATACTGTTCTACAGTACTTTTTTTTCCTTATCTTGGAAATTGTTCTTTCAGTTCTTATTGAGCTTCTTCAGTTTCTTAGAGGCCAGTATCATATTCCATTATTTGGCTGTACCATAACACATTTAAGAAATCCTCAGTTTATGGATATTAAAGTTGCTTAAAATATTTTGTAATTACAGTATTGTAGGAAGTAGCCTAGGAGACAACTTTATGCACATGTGCAAATATTTTCATAAAATATATTTCCAGGGTTAAAATATTGAGACATATAATATGAGCCTTTCACATTTTGTCATTTTTCCAAAATGACATCACAAAACAGCTGTACCAATTTAGTCTCCTATCAATAGACTTTTCTATACTTTTGTCAACACTGAATATTATTCTTTAAAATCTTCATTAATCTGATGCATTAAAAATGATAACTCATTGTTAATATAATTTGCATTTCTTTGATCACTGGTGTGTTAAAGTTTCTTCTCATATGTTAATTGGCCACTTGTAATTGTTCTTATGTGAATTGCTTTTTTTCTGTTGCTTATCCTTTTTCTTGTTTTCATTTCAAGGCTTTCTTAGCCTTTTACATATATTAATCTCTTCTCTGTTAATAACATTGAAAGTTGAGTCTCTCAGTCTGTCGCTCATTTCAAAAGTTTGTTTCTAATCTTCATGCAGTCAAATCTGTCATTAAAAAAAAATTATGCCTCTTGGTTTAAGCCTTATGAAGACTTTCCCACTCCAAGATGCTGATACTCTTCTCCTTCATTTTTCTTCTACATTTTGATTTTTAGTTTTCTAAATTATTTTTTTTAACCAACAGTATTCATTTTAGTGTATGCTGTAATGTAAGTGTCTCACTTATTTTAACAAAAGAATAGGTAAATGTTCAAACATCATTTATTGTATAACCTATCCATCCTTCTTTACACTCATTTGGAATATTGCCTTTATCACTAAGTAAATTCTCATATATGCATAAACTGTCTTCTGATCTCTATTCTCCTCTCTGTGTGTTTATATCTCAGCACTACTTTGGTGACTTCTAAATCTTACCAGTCATCCAAATCAACTGGGATGCTTTTGCAAAAGTTCCAGTTCTCATGTGCCATGGTCTTGAGTGGAATCCATGATTCTGGAACAGTCAGGTTCGGAAATCCTTGGCCTAGGTGATTTTGAATAATATATTTAGATCCTCTCATTCTCTGCTTTTCTTTCCTTCAGTGAACACTTGAATTTTTAACAGTGCAGTGAAGTAGGCTCAGAGCAGCCCATAGCTTTTTCCTAGGTCTGTTCATACCAGCATCATACCACATAGTCTAGGCTGCTCATGAATTGTCTGGTAATTGACAACTACTAGATGTGTCCTCATCCTCTATCACTCATTTGTCCTTCCAGGAGTACTTTGATGAATGTAGAGGAAACCTCATTTTACTTTCTGTTTACTATGCTGCAGGGAGACTTGTATTTTCAGTATAAAGCTCATGTGACAAGGTAGCTTATAGCCAGGGTGCAGTCAATGCCCAGGACCATGCTTCTCAGCCTACATCATGACCTAGTTTGTTATGTGGGATGCTGGCTCTTGGTCATTTTCTACTCTAAGTTATCCAGAAATTGCTGCTGGATGTTCCAGCTTATCCTGAGATAACCCTGAAATCTCCTACCCAGAAAAAAAGTCTAGAAATTAGAAGATTCTGGTAGGTCTTCTCTGTCATTGTAAGCGTGGAATGAGACTTTGATCATGTATCTTGAAAACAAACAGTTAACATTTAATAATAACTAACAATATAGCTAAAATTTTCTGAGTACCTACTGTACTGAAACATGTCATGTATATTCTTTCCAGTCCTTATAATAACCCTGTGAATTATAAATTATTAACTTCAGTTTAGAGAAAAGGTAATTGATATTTAGAGAGGGAAGTCACTGGCCTAAGGTCACACACTTAGAAGCCAAAAGAGTGAAAAGATGCAGTGTGATTCCAATACAAAAAACCGGAACTTTGGGACCAAGCAGAGTAGAGTCAAACTCTAGCTCTGCTACTTGCTACATGAGTGACCTTGGGCAAGTCTTATTCCTTTTCTGAGTCTCAGCTTCTTTATCTGTTGAACAAGAATCTCTACCTTGCCTCCTCATAGAACAATTGAAGGATTAAATGTAATAATAATAATAAATGTAAAGCACCTGTTCCAGAGTAGATGTTCAAAATATAGTAATTTTTACAAAGGTTACTATAACCTGGATTATTACCCAGGTGTTTGGATCCCACCCAGCCTCTGCATCTTTGTCCTTTAAAACCAGGAAAAGCTTCTGTTATATAGGCCTATTTTAACATCAAGAGAAA